GGGGTTGGGGGGTTGGGGGTGGGGGCGAACAAGAAACCGACAATGAGAACAAGGCCGCGATCAGGCCACAGAAGGGCAGTCCAGAAGGGGCGACACTATGACTAGACCCGAGCACGAAAACACATCCTACCACGCATCATGTACTATCGCGCGACCCGTTCTCGGGCGTCCTCGCGATACGACGGCTCGTTTGTCGCTGCAAAAACAACACCCTCTGCACAAACCAACACGCCTCTCTCGACTACACCCAAGCTAGCTCACCCCGACGTCGCCAAGAACTCCGGACCCACGCCCTCCGCGGCTGCAGGCCCAACCTTCGAGCCTTCCACCCCGGCCGCCGCCGCCGCCGCCGCCTTACTGTGACCCGGCGGAAACTCGCTCGGCGGTGCCCACGCCCCGTTTCCACCGCTGCCGCCGTCCGCTTTCGCGCCTGTTAGCGGACGATCGTCATCGTCCGGCACAGCGGCGGCGGCGGCAGCGGCTTCCGCGGCGAAGGCGCCCTCCTGCGCATCGAACTCCCGGGAGGCGGCGGCGGGGCCGCCTTCTGCGGGGAGGAGGATGGGGCCCCGCTTGTTGGCAGTCAGGACCCAGCCGTCGTCTCGGCCCCGGTAGGAGACTCGCACCCACATGTCAGAGGTCTTTTCCGTTCGGTGTGGTGTCGGGCAGACGGGAGGAGGTCGCGTTTAGGTGGCACCGTAACAGACCATCGTTTTTCGATTCTATGCCGGTGGCGACGCGTGGCGTGAACGTAAGAGGTTGCTTTGATCCCCATGCCTCGCACACGAACAATGCACAAACATCGCATCATCACTGTCATTTCCACCCCCTGATGCACTGCTTGCTGCCGTACGTGCGGCGCTTACCTCCAAGACCTTGACAATGTGTCCCTTCTCCATTGTGGCCACGTCCAACGAGAAAGGGTCGGCCTCCTCCCTAACCTTGAGCGGCCTGGCAAAACAAACACACACACAACACAACACACAGAAAACGTTGAAGAGCGAACCAGACCGGTTTAGTGTCCTGGCATCACCCGTTTGCCTGGCGGCACTCTGAACGAATCAAGTCTTGCTTTCCTGTAGAAAAGCGATTGGTGTCGCCACCTTGTGACTGAGTCATCGGAAAACATATCGGACCGGCCTTTCCCTTCTGGACGGGTTGTGGGCGACAGGCCTCGCCGGAAGGCCGGGACATGCCCGCAGGCCATTCGTGGAGAAAGGTTAACAAACATGAGAATGACCATGTCGAGCTGCAAAATAAAAAAAAGGAAGAAAGAACGGTTCCAAATAACCTCTTGTTCACACGATCCTACCGGCCAAAAGCTTATCGAAGAGCCCACCCACCACCCAGATATCATTCCTTTGCACTCTGTCCGTCCCTGATTCTCACGCACGCCTGGTACCTCTTCCCGACTCACCCAGCAGAAGTCAAAAACTGTCCGACCGATGCAGCGTTGCCCTTCCCCGACGATCCGGCCGCAACTGGCGGTGCTGCAGCAGCCGCCGCAGCCGCCGCCGACCTTGCCCGTGCCACCTCCGCCCGGCTCCCGCTATCGTCCGATACAGCTGTCGACCCCGCCTTCGACCCCGCCTTCGCCCCGGTCAGTGGGCGGTCTTCATCGCCGGCTCCGTTAGCGGCTGACCCCGCTGCCGCCGCCGCCGCTGCCGCCTCCTGAGCCTGGAACTCCTTTGCCGCGGCGGCGGGGCCGGCCTCCGCCGGCGTGAGGCTCGCCCCTCGCTTATTCGCCGTCAACACCCAGCCGGAGCTATCGCCGCGGTACAGAACACGCACCCATAACCCCGACGTCTGGGGTTGGGGCGCGAACGTACGTTGCGGGCGGTGGGGAGGATTGTGGGGCGGGTTTCCAACGTCATGCGCGGCCGTACAGGGTTAGTCGTGCCATGTTTGCGGGCGGCGAGGAGGAAGGGCACGGCAAGAAGGGGACGGGATTCCAACATCATGCGCGCCGTGCAGGGTTAGTCATGCCATGTTTCATGCCATTTTTGCGGGCAGTGGGAGACGGGAAGAAGGGGACGGGATTCCAATTTCATGCGCCGCCGGAAGATGGCGTATGGTCACCCACCGCACTCGTCATGTACGGACTGGAGGATCTGGTCTCGTCGCGAAACAAACGTGCATGCGCAGATCCCCTACACAACCCCATGCAGCATGTAGCAGCACCACTCCCCAGGCTCGCGAACAAAAAGCACGCTGTCCCCTGGTGGTAACGACAACCGGCAGCACACCTGACGTCACCCTTGACTGGCACAACTCAAACGCCCTGCCATCTACTTCGTCCACGTCGCAAAACCCCAAGACTGCCGGAACCCATGTACAGTCGTAGTTCCGGTTTAGCGGTTCCTTGTTTAGCGGGATGCCGTCGATAGCACTCAAAAATCTCGCGGCACGCCTGCACCTCTGTAGTCAAACTACTTCTACTTCTACATAACTGCCAATCCGGTGTAGCGGCGACGCCCTCACCAACGGAAACAATATTTTGTGACACTACAGACCGCTGAACCGGGACCACGACCCTACGCCCGTCTGACCTGCTCGACCCTAACCAGCTCCCCGCGAGACACGGTACCGAGCTCCAGCGACAGCGAATCCGCTTCTTCTCGGAGCTTCAGTTGTCCCGCCGCTCTCATGTAGCCGCCCACCGACGCCGTCGTCGGCACGGTAGAAGCGGCGGGGGCAGCGGTGACTGCGGCGGCGGCCTTTTCCTCCGGAGGTGGGCCGGCGTCGACGACCGCAGGCTTGGAGGCAGCCGTAGCTGCTTCCTCCTGAGCCGACGGGAGGTGCGATACACAGGGGCGGGGGTAACTCATGTTTTGCATGCCTTATCTGTTAGACCATTGGCCTCGAGAGAACGGAGCATTGTCCCGAAACGATCGCCGACGGCCAACCGTTCATTCTTACCTTTCCGAAGGTGGCTCGATTTTTTTTCCCTATCCTACCTATCCTATCCATATATTTTCCCGCCTTTTCGGCGGAGAATGGGGATCGGGGTGGAAAAAGACACACAAGAACTGCGGGAATGACACCGGTGCCGAAATAAAAACCGACAACACTATCAGACGGGTTCGGCGTACGCGGCAGGGACCCCAGATCGTTACCAGCGTGTCGGGCAGACTGTGAGAGCTCTGATGCGGCGAAATGAGAGGTATTCAAACGAAGCAATCTTGAGAGCCTTTAGAACGTTTAGAACACGTCCGTGCACTATGGCGGACACGACCACAGAGAAAACAAACGCGGGCATGCCCAGCCCCACTACCAAACATGCAGCCGTTTGGATAACGGCGCCACCTCCAACACCAGCGGTTTCAACACAAACACATCCGCGAACAAACCCGCGACCATCCTTGCCCTCCCACTCCATGGCCAAATGGCTAGCTAGCTCTACATATTTCGCCGCACCTGTTTCTCAAACGCGTGTTGGGCAGCCAGCGCGTTCGGCGCTTCGGCTACCATAGACCCCCGCTTGGTGGAGAAGGCTAGCAGCCATCCTTCCACGAGACCCGTGCGGGAGCCCGCAGCAGCAGCCGTGTTAGGCGATTGTCCGCGGACCCAAACGTCTTTGGTCTGCTTCGCCTCGTTGATCTCCTGAAAATAACACACACACACACACACGCACAAAAAAAAAACGACGCTAATCTCGTGAAAAAAACACAAAAAAAGACGAATAGCGGGCACGAAACAAAAGTGCAAACGTCCGTGCGGAAGGGGGAGCGAGGGTTTCACACGGTGTGAAAAGGCGTGCGTTGGTACACGGCCAAACCAGGGGATGTAAGTTGCCGTACCCTTCAAATTGTCACGGTTAGGGTACAGACAGCAGTGACCGCGGACATCAGATATACACACAGCCTAGACTGATTTTCAAAGCTCGACTACTCCACGACTAAGAGGATGCTTAAACGAAACGACACGTTTTTGGAGACCTCTCGACCAGACGGCTTCAACGCCGCCAATTTTCGGCGCTGCGACTCTTTCTGCCCGTCTACATCTTGGTCGCTATCAGCACCGTGCAGTCAAGGCTAGCGACATCACCAGCAACAAGACAACCGCCACTGCTCTCAACAGTCAAAACGACAACAACAACGACAACAAGCTTCGGTTTCTCCACCTCTTTCTCCTCGAAGACCCGCACTATCCCCCCCTCCGGGACGACGCCGACATCCTGCGCGTAGAACTCCGGGTACTCTCGGACGGTCACTTGTCTGGCGCACACCATGTATCTGCTCACAGAAGCCGGCCCATGAACAAATGGACGACAGAATGCTGGCCACGTGAGACCGACGCCATGCCCCGCAGCAGCGGGGTGGCTACGTCGACAAGTCTAGGTTGAAACAGCGACTACTACAAAAAGTGTTGGACAATTGAAGCGTTGTCCGTTTTCCGCCGAACAGAGACTGCCGCACTTTTCATTGGCCAGCCAGTTAGTGCAGTCGACGGCCATGACAAAAGTCAAACAACGCACAAACGACAAGCAGGACTGCCGCACTCTTGTGCTCCGCTGGCGAAAATGCCGTCGTGGTGGTGAAACCCCCAGAGGCAGGCAGTAGCCTTCCCCAGGACATGAAGGCTGGATATAGTGCCGGTTACGGGCAAGGGTTAGGGTTAGGGTCACGAACCCCCCCCCCCCCAATATTTCACACATAGAAGTAACCCCTAACTATCCTCACAAAGGCGGTCCTAAGCAGGACACATGCTTTGCAAGCGCGTCAACACACTCGCCTGTTCCCGTCCAGCTTCGAACGAGGCTTCGCCGTCGTGGCTGGGGCTCCGGCTTGTCGTTTTGGGGGCCCCGCCGCCGCCGCTTTAGGGGGGGCCGAGGACCTGACGGCGTTGCCACCGCCGGCGACGGAATCGGCGGGCACAAGCAGCTGAACTTCCGTCGGCGTCTGCGACAGCATCCACGCCTCCTGCCTCGGTAAATACACATGCCGCGGTGGCGACAAGACCAACGTCACAGGGGGGAGGGGGATGGAAACGCATGCCTTAGTCGTTTGACCTCGCACCCCTACAAGGCCGGGACGGAGGAGCGATACGCCGGGTTTTTCGCCGGCCCAGGGTACGTTTCACAAGGGTGAGCCACAGGCTGGTCATGATCCTTCCTTGCGTTTCCTAAGCCTTGGTGGGATGAGGGGGGGGGTAGCATCCGGGATGATGACTCGCGGACAGACAGACACGGGTCCGTATTGCACTCGGCAGAACGGCGCCGCGTCTCGTCGTAGGAGGGTTCTCGTCGTAGGAGGGATCAACCAAAACAAGCGCACCCAACAGCGGCACTGGCTGTAAAGCCGGAGTGAAAAAACACGCGAAAATTCTCTAGGAAGCCCCCACGAAAACATGCAACGTCTACGGGACAAAAAAAAAGCACAAACAAGCGTCGCAGCGCAGCTGCAAAAAAAACAACAGAAAAAACACCGCCTAGAGGGCGAGCCGGACTCACTCTGTGCCCGTGATATAGTACTCTCAACCAGGGCCCCCGCGTCGCCAAGCAGTACACCCTCCCCTTGCTGGTAATCTCCCCCAGCGGGGCCCCGTCCTGGGAAGGAGCCGCCCTCACTGCGAGCTTCACCGCGTCTCCGTGCTTAGCCGCAAGCTGCCGATCGAAAAGCACGGAACGGAGAAACGCGAAGACGAGCAGCGAAGCAAAGGCAAGTGTCGATCGAGGGAACAAACGACTTGAGCTGAAGCCGTTCTGCTCTGAAACGAGTACAGTGGCAGCTTGGTGCCAGGACAATTTTAACACCAATGCGGGACGCCTCAAAAATTATTGTGACGGAAGCCAGAGACACGATTAGAGCGTGAGCACAGCATTTACGCATGAACCGGCAGGAATAAAAAGCTTGTCCACTGGAAGCAACAACAAGCAACAACATAGCAAGAGCGTCTGGCGTTGCCGGTGGGTGGCCCTACCAATCGCCGCCGACGGTGGGCAATTCGAGAAACAGCAAATATCAGCGCTAAGCGCAGCTCGCCCGCCTCCCTCCCAGGCACGTTGCTGCAGAAGATAGGCCGTGCTGCTTGCTCCTTGGAGGTTGTTCGAAACCGTTTCCTTTCGGAACGCGAGAGCCGCAGCCTTAGACTCCAGAAAAGCCAACCCATCTCTTGCAGATAAGGGCAAGGTTTGCTCGAAAACAGAGGCCGACTGAAACAGTGCAAGCCTCAGCACACGAGTCACGAAGCCACACGAGCAAGCCGGGCACACTCGTATCAAAAAATACCAAAGGGCCCACGCCCAAACCAGTGTTCGTGAGATTGACTCTTCTAGGATTGTGCTCTGTAGGCGACTACCTTGTTGTGCTGTCTTTTGCCGATTCTGGCTAATATGCCGAAAATAGAGTGGAAGAAAAGTTAGTGTATCAAATTCGCCCAAAAAAACATCGCCTGCGGAGTACAAGCCTATATTCTCCGCTTACCGCCGGGTCCATGATGAACACGTCTCTTCGCGCCGGCTTGAGGAGCGGCATCCCCTGGGCGGAGGACGACATCCAAGCCGACGCCGCGTCCCCCATCAAAACCCGCAGCCACTCCGCCGATTGCTCGGCCACCTCGAATATTGTCCCCGGGGCGGCCGACACCTGCTTCACCTGTTGACGGCGCACCAGCGGTATACGTAGGCCGCCCAGTAGCAAGGTGCAAGTGGCAGCATCAGCATTAGCAGAAAAAGCAGTAAGCAGAAGGTGGTACAAGTGGTCCCGATATGTAGCGGTCCCGGATAGCTCGTTTCCCGATATATCGCGCTACAAAATCCTTGGCACAACAACCTTGCCTACAACTAAATTTCTATTCAGGAACCTTCCCCCAATAACGCGGGTCCCGATGTAACCCGGTGATTACTGTCTATCACTTTACCGCGATACGTCGGGACCACTATTTACTATCACAAATACTTTTATGCATAGTATTAGTAGCCATGGTGGCAACACCAGCACTCTACAAAGACGACACCAGCGAGAACCAGCAACCACAACGCAATAACAGACAAACAACAGCGCTTCGAAGACGAACGGCGCTCCTTCCACTACGACCCCAAACCGACACGCCACCATCGACAGGCCTTGATGATGCTTGAAGTCCTTGGCTCCACTCTGTGAGATTTTCTCGCAGCGCGTTGTGTGTGCTCGTTCTAATGGCATAAACACCCCCACAACAAAAAGTGTGCACTAGCGTAACATCCACTGCCTGCACCTTTGCTTCGTGAGGACTGTAACTTGCAAGTCAGGCTTTGCAGGACCACTATTTACCACAACAAATAGTGACCATGGTCACAACACCAGCACTCCACAAAGACGACACCCGCAAGAAACAGCAACCGCAGCAACAACAGACAACAACCGACTCCTCAACAACAACGGCGCCCACCGCCACTACTACACCCCCAAACCGCCACGCCACCGTGAACAACAGGCCTTGAACGCACAACGACGGTGCTCGCAGGACCCACCTCAGCGGCGGTGCCCTCCGGTGCGGCGCGCACCCTCAGCTGGACCCCGTCCGGCAGGCCCGGCGCCGGCACCACCAAGAAGGCCGGCTTCACCGACAGGAGCACACGATCGTCGGTGGCCGTCAGCATCCACCCTCGAAGCGGGGGCGACGCGGGATCATCGCGATCCTGGTGGGCCATGCTGAACAGCCGGGGGGGGGGGGGGGGGGGGGGGGGGGGGTGTTCCACGGTTTCCACATGGAAGGCCCCTGGCCAGGACGCGCCATACGCTGAAGTGTTCCCGGCGGAACAACGCCGAATAGCTCTT